CGCGACGAGTAGCGTGGATAATTACATGTTAGAATAGACGACGGCTCTCGACCGGAGAGATTATTCTTCCATTTTGGCATTTTGCGAAGCGCGAAAAAATCGTCGCGTTATAAATTTCTCATCACGCGTAAGAATAAATTTTCTTCCCCGTTTTGCTTTGAAATTACGCCTGACCCAGTATCGCGTGTTAGATGTTTCAAATTTATCCTTCGCAGTCGTACACTTGTTATTTTTCCCCCCTCTTTCTCTCTCTCACTCTTTGTCTGTAATTCTCGAATGCGTGATTTAATATCTACCGTTAGCCGTTTTAGCTTATGACGTCGAAGCAGGAGTAATGTATAATTTATTTTCTTGCAATATACGCCGAGATGAATGAATTTTTCCGCGTGGTCGCGCACTCGCGATCGATCGAGCGCGGCCTTGTAAAATGTGTCAAAAACTCAACCAAGTTTCGGCTTGTTATCCAATAAATGGCCGTGTAACTCGTTTTCGTCGCGAGCACGGCACGGGGTTTCGAATTAAATTATACGGCCGTTTATTGATTAACAAACCAAAACCGTGGCGTGTTCGGCAAATATTACAAGTTCGTTTTATCAATCTCCGCTGTTGTCATGCTCGCGGAAACCCATTTATTTTCGCATACAAAACATACAGAGTGGCGACGCATAAATAAATTGCACATAATTCTCTCTTTTGACGTCATATCGGCAGCCTTAAAATTAAGCGCATCGTCCACTTTTATTCTCCGACGATGGGAAATAATTAATTATTGCGGTATACGCGCTTTTACCGGGTCCCGGATTACGTATCGGGACAATTCTTTGTATTTTCGCTGTGCGCACCTCGGGCTACCTTTCTTTTAGTTTCACTAAAAATTGTAACCTCGGATCTCGGAACGATAACTATGGGAGATATCTGATTACGTCTTCATGCAAGGTACGTCGTACGCTCGCATCGCATCGTTTAACCTTTATAGGATCGAAGGGCAAGGTATGTTCTAGTAACACATTCAGTTCGCGTCGGCGGACTAACCTATCGGTTTGCTATTTTCTTTTATGAACGAGATACCTGTCAACACCTCATATACAGGGAGAATCGAGAGATCCCTCTCTTTTCGTCTCTCTCCCTTGAGCGTCTTTCTTAAAGAGAGAGAGAGAGAGAGAGAGAGAGAGAGAGAGAGGAATTAAAGTCTTTTTTTTTCGTAAATTTAACGCTGATAATTTAATTAAGCACTCGATTTTTATGCTCAATTTCACACATATCGTACATATTTATTCAAGATGAATTCATTGACTTTTTGACTCAGGATAATTTTTATAATTTTTATGTAAAATAATATCAACACAAGCTGCTCTTTCAAGTCGTAGGATTATTATATAACGATTTTACGAGAATATTGTTACGAGAATTATGAGACAAATGTTGTATCCGTGATTTCCGCTCTTCCTCATCGCTTTCCCTGAATCAATTTTCCATTTAAATAACCCAAAATGTCAGAAATTGCGACGACACTCGTCACAACTGACTTTCGTTATTGTCGGATATTTCCGCAGAATATCCGTCGGTTTCAATCTCGCGTGATTGCCACCGAATGCAGCCAATTACCCTCACGTGTGCTGATCGCGAACGCGAACTCCGCGTAAAATCACGCGTGCTCGCTGCTCATTCCCAAAGAGAGAGGAGAGAAGAGAGGAGCGACACACGCGACAGGTTCGGCCGGCAAGCTCGACGCAACGCGATACTGCATTCGGGGTGAGTTTCGCTCGATTTGCGGCGACCATTGTGTGACGGGGGAGATTATTTAATTCACATTTGCGCAACGATATTCACGGTCTTGTGCCTCGCCAAGCGTTCATAAAATTTACCTACACCGAGAGCAGGCGTATCCACGGCAGCTGACGTCATGTTCAACGAACCGTTAGTTAGCCAGTGAACTATACTAATATTGGAATGCGCTCACCGATCCTGTCAAGCCGTTGAAGGGGCATACGCGCGTGTATGCGTGCGTCTGTACGTGTGCGTTACAGCCGCCGCCGCCGGCGGATCTCCCTTTCTCGCATCCCCCTTCGTTACACCGTCCGTCCGCCCACCTAGCACGTGTTACAGCGCGAGCGAGCGATAAACTTACCTGTTTTCCGACAACTTTTATCTATATCCTCTTGCAAGAGATATACTGGTCCGCGGGGAGCCGGAAGGGAGGAGGGGGAGAACGTTCGCGGATTCATTTCGCGGAACTTAATAGCCGGACGGGCGTCGGCGTAGCCGATGCAAAACAATGTCTCAACGGAGGAACGACGTTAACAGTGCCGCTTAACGAGATTTTACGCCCGCGTTAAGGTATCTTAGACGTAAACAGCGTCGGAGATTGCCGCGTTAGTTATAAAACGAGCAATCGGATGGTAAACAATTTTCGCGGGAACACGCTCGCTCCTTAAGATTGCACAAGAAACGAGATTTTCGATTATTCGCGCTGGAATTTCGTCTTCTCGAAGGGTTCTCTTCTTCCTTCCATTGAACTATATAACATTTTAGAAGGAGCAGTAGTGTGATGGAGGTCAGGGTCTATGAGACAAAGTCCATGGCTAAGTAGAATTTCGCTCTCTGTCTCACTAACATGCTATATAGTTTATATACTCACGGATAAGACAAAAACGGATATAAACGTACAAAGACAGCGATATCACTTAGATACTATCTCTTTTGACACCAGGTCATCGAGCAGAAACAAAAGCAATGCTCTTTTTAGTTTGTTATATAGTTCAATGCTTCCTTCTCAACGATTCCACGAGAATCACCTGTCACGCGTCATCTCCTCGATCAATGGTATCTTCAGCGTCAACGATGGCCGATCGGTTACGCTCTTTTAATTGCTCACAGTATCGTTTCTAGCAGTGGACTCAAGGGACAGGAGGAGAGGAATGTATAATTGAATACAAGTCGGAGAACAGAGTGTCAGGTTGCTCGTGTGCGTGTCGCGGAAAATTCTGTTTACGTAAAGCACGCGGCTGGATGTCGCGATTACCGTCACCAACGGTGATATATTATACGCTCCGGAGATGTGTCAGTTCTCCAAAGCAATCTTCCCCATTGTTCTTGCGGACTGATACGACACGGGGCGGCGGCCGCCCCCGCGGAACTATCATCGACGGTGCACGCGCGATCATCGGCCGGAAAGGGTTGAGAGTCGGCGGTTGACAGCGCATAATTACGACAAGAAGAACGATTAATTGACGAGCGGCGGGATCAGTTTCGTCGTGGATACATTGTTCGGGCGAAACTTGCGCGCGTGCGCGAAAGAGGATGCAACCGGCCATGCTCGGACGGTGATTTTCATTAATTACCGTCGAATGCGTTTGAATACGATCACGTGCGCACGCCTAAGTGATTGACCCGATCGTCTGCAAATTAAGGCGCGGCTCCTTTCTTTTCGTTCTTCCTTGATTTTTCTCTCGTTCGTTTTGGCTCAAACGAGCTCGATCCATTATCGACTTAGCGCCAAGGACGAAATTGTCCATTCATTAGAGCGTCGTTGTGCAGGATATTCATCGTCGCTAATTCTTGGAAAAACTGTTCGATGCACAAATCATCGCAAATTGTGATGCGAACAATAAGAAATTGAATATGTGAAGTCGCGAAATTGGTAGTGGGAAATTCGGAAATTAAAAAGTTGATTTGTCGGATATCGTATATCGTTACGTAGAAATTTGCGTCATTTCACGGCATATGTGGCAGACACGTTGAGGAACAATCCAGCAGAACAGTCACTTTAATCATCGAAAGTACCTATGTCGGTGCTCGTGACACTCTCGAACTTCCACTTTGATTAGTTTGACTTCGCAGAATAACTCGAAATTTAAACCGACGAAGTCTCGACGTCGTCGTTCAAAGGCTCAGCGACATCTTCATCGGCTTGAGTGACCGATAGAATGTGAAACGAGCGATTCGTTGTGCCTCAAGAGAAGTGGATCTCATTTTGTTTACTCTCTCTCTCTCTCTCTCTCTCTCTCTCTTTCTCTCTTTCTCTCTCTCAAGTTCTACCTAGCTGTGTGCTTTTAGCATAACTCTCTCACGCGCGGCACTTCTCACTGATCTCTTTCGCGTTATCGAAGTAATAAATAATATGTACGTTAGAAACACGAGTTTCAGAGTACAATCCACGCTGACTTTCGGCGGAAAATATTATTTCGCGTTGCGCGCGCGCGTTTTATCTGGAAGTGAGTTGGCTATTGAATTAAAAAACAGAACTAAAATATCGAACAGCATAATGTACATTCGCGGGACATGAGAACTGCCCGAGGCATATCATTTATTCAATTACATTTGCAGTTACGGTTTTGCCCCGCGATGCACTTTTACAAGCTTGCTTGATGATAATCGGTTGCGCGCGAACACAAGGCGCGAGGAACCGTAAAAATCTTTAACGCGTTCCTTGCTCGGGGAGAAAAGGTCTCGCCTTAAAATCAAGCCGCGTATTAAATTTTTTACGAAACCCGCTCCTAAAATCGTAAGTTTAACGTGGTACTACATATCACGTCTAAAAACGTGAGCCACCCTTCTCAATTTTAACGTATCGACCCACGTATCAATATTCAAAAAAGCAAACGAAAGCAACTGAATGGATATGAATATATCTGTGTATATATATACGGTACACAAATTTTATTTATATCACTTTTAAATATTAACGTAGTAGAAAATTCCGCACGGAACTCTCATAACGGATATACTGTGATCACCGTGAAAAAATAATGTTTTTTTTCGAGAGAATTTAAAAGATGCTCTTTTTTCTTAACGAAAACAGTAAGATCGCCGTTTAATTGCGAAAAGTTTTAACATCGGAGATTCCGGAGGAGAGTCAAATTGTGTCGAGACAGTACATTGCGGATGAAAAATTTTCCTCTCGGTTAATCGCCGCGACACTTATCGCCAGGAACTAGAAGCAATTTCCTTTCTGTAAAATAAAGCTCACTCGAGCGATGAAAAGAGAACGAAAGACTCACCTAAGATAGTGACGAGGATCAGGAGAAAGAGCACGAGAGCTCTCAGGACGATCGAGGCGTCGATGAAGACTGGATCTTCCACGGATGCGTTTACCGCTTGATTGACGTGGACCTCCATCGTGTCTAAAGCGTATTTCCCGTCTTCAATGCTCGCTATTCATCATCTGGTTAGATAATGTATCATGGTCCGCCCTCGTTAGCGGCCCCGAAGCTCCAGTTCTTTTTTTCTTCTTTTCCTCTTCCGCTTTCGACGGACGTGGAGTCAACGCCTGGCCGATGCACGTCCGCTACTCCTCTCGCGTACTTCCACGTCTATCTCAGAGTTTACCACGACCTCCATTTTCCGCAATTTTCTACCCCGAGTCTTCATGGACTTTCAGATGCGAGCGTTTTGTTTTCGCACGATGTACCAGTCAGTCCTTTCGTGCACGTACCTGAAACGGTGAAATGTGAAAAACAATTCAGGTTCCATTAAAACTTTAATTTGCCTGTTGATTTTTCAAAGCGGTAGAATGTTCAGTTCTCCATCTAGCGAATTAACGAAGCAGCACAGCGTGATTTCCGGCTGATCTTGCGATATTCTTTCGATCATTTGCCCTCGGGTGTTTTAAAATTACAGGTTTTTTCTAACTTACTTTATGCTTACATTATACGTCACGGAGAGAATTGTAGATCGCTCTTGTAACTTTTGCACAGCTAATATCTACGTAGAAGCGTTTATTTATCACGCGGCATATTGCGTTTCACGTTAAATGTAAGTTACGTTACGTGCGGGCGACGGCGCAATCGAGCGAATATGAGCGAGGCGTCACGTTCATGGTAGCCCGCGAAACCAATGAAATTGGAACAATCGGTCAGCAATTATCGGGATTGTAACGACTGGCGCGATCGACTTTAATAATAAATCCGCGCGGCGATGCGCGAAAAATAGATGCGTTTACGATAAACGCGCGTGTCGCAAAATTGCCTTAAGAGGGCGACTCTTGTATGCACTCTATTAAATTTTCCGATATAGTGCCGGAACGTTTCATTAACTTGAATTCGCCGGGACCTACTCGCCATTTGGTTTAAACTGATTGAATTTCCAGACGAATAGCGCTCACGTTTGATAGTGTTGCGCCGATACACCGTAACGGGCTCACGGTTTTCATAGTATGGTCTGTTGCACAATTTTATTATTTCGATGAATTACAAATGATTTTACGGAGAGTAAACCCTCAAAGAGATCGGGCGGGTGCGCGGGCGCGCGCGAGAAGTTCCTCTTTAAAAATATATTATTAAAACTTATACACGGGAAATCTTTTTGGCGCGACCCCGCGAAGGGGTTAGATAACACTCTCGCGAGAGAGTGCCAATATTTTTCTCGCGATCGCGCGAAAAATTCGTCCCGGAGTGGTTGTTGGCACGGTGGCTTTTTGCGCGCGACCACCGAGATCTGAAAGTTTTATTCCCACCGCATGACGCAAATCCCACGTATTCCGCCGGCGACCAAAAAGTGTCCCGCCCTACGGCTCTCTTCCTCATCACCATTTTTCGGTGCTCGCCCGACCGACTCGGAGACCGAAAAACAACCTCCCACGATGGAGAAGTATCTCTCCGGACCAACTTTCTAACAGCGTCGCTCGTCGAGAGAGAAAAAGCCCGGGGAGCGTGCAAAAGCGAAGCGTGGCGTTCGTGCGAACTTCAAAGAGACAGGCGGAAAAACGAGTGTCCGTGAACAGCGAAGAGAATAAAAGCCAATCAGGCTTTCGGGTTTTCGGAGATACGGCCGCTACGTTTTTAATATTTAAACAACGGCACAGCAGCGCGCGAGTATCGATCCGCCGGTACGTAACGAGTCCCGTAAATCTTATTTCCGGTATCGACGGCTTCGATCCGTCGCGTGAAGGAAAGCATTCCCGTTCTTACAATACTAGTTGAGTTTTAGACAGAAAATTTGCTTCTCTCTATTTGCTCTTTTTCACTTCCCCTAATAATGCTCACCCAATAATGTATAATGGGAAATTAAATGAAATATAATTATTGATTAACTTTTACTTGAGAATATTTTTAGCGGCGTAAAATTGGAGAATGATACATTGTATTCGTAGCATTAAAATACCAGCCAGGTTCGTTTTCCGTTTCCAATGATGCCCGGATTTCGGTTTCAAATAAACAAATAAACGGTCTCTCAACGATTTTATTAATATATAGACGGATATAACGTCAGTTATTGTCGATATAGCGACGAGTCCGTTTATTTGTTGACAGGGAGATTTATTAGGAATCATAAATTGCTAAAATCGAATTGAAAAACAATAAACAGTCTGGAAATAGAAATATGACGCAAGAGAAAAATATGGAACTTTAGGGAATCTTGTTAAAAGTGAATAGAAAATCAATGAGAAGATCACGACGAGACAAGAATAAAACGAATAATTTTGTTATCATAGAGGATATCGAAACACCATAAGTTTGCGTCGCGAATATAATTCTTGAAATTTTGTTTCCTTGACGATTCACTTCTAACCGGGATATAAAAATTGCATTTTACAGCCCCTATAAAATCTTTTCCCGGAGTGAGATGCAATCACGATACTGAAAATGCCATTGTAATAGCCAGCCGAAGAGAAAATACTCATGAATATTACGCGGAATCTTGTGCGTTCTCGCGAAATCGTTGCCGTTAATGGAATATTTTATTCATTCAGACGTGTGAGAGTTAATTCAAACCTCAATAATGGAAAACACGCTCGTTGTATAATGCAATTTTTATATCCCGATGAAAAACCGTTGAAATGCGGGAGGATTTAGAAGAAGGAAGAAGGAAGGGAGTCAATATTTTCATTTCGAAAGAAAGAAAGCGCCAACGTATATACATACAACATTTCCGGCTATTCTGTTTCAGTTTAAAAATAATTATTTAATAAAACACTCGCCACCATTCTCTTCNCTCTCTCTCTCTCTCTCTCTCTCTCTCTCTCTCTCTCTCTCTCTCGCTCGACGAATTGATTTTCGATGTTTCGGAAATCGTCGATAGAGTCTTCGGAAGTATTTATCACGCCTGCCTGGAACCACTTACTTGTGAAACGGAAAATAGCAGTTTTACGAGGTATATCGGACCAATAATGGCAAACGACACGTATATATCGCACTACATATTACACTTCCGCCATTAAGTCGTTATAGAAAATTTGTCGGTTCCCAAATTGATCCATTAATCTGTCGCCGTTTTGGCGCGCGATTGTATCGCGCTATATGAAAGTTACAAACGGCGCAAGGAAAATCTGTTCGATGAATCGTGTTTTGACGCGTGTTACGATAGACATTGTTCGCGCAATGGTTCGGAATTGTGCGAACGTTCGCGTGTATTCGCGCCGTCCGTTTGCATGCGAGGCTTCGCGCCGTTGATGCCGCCGCCGCCGTGGACGAATCTCACCCCGCATTTCGGCCGATTCAAAATTGAGAGTGCAAGCACACGTAGACCCCTCGAGCGAGTCGCGTGTGTGTGTATATATACGTTTCACAATAGCGGATGCATTTATCACCAACGGAAAACTGCGGCTCTCTCAGTCGCGCTCGAAACTCCATAAATTCGCCACCGCTGGTGGAAAACGGAGAGGAGGTACTAACGGTTAGGCGGAAAAGAAGGTGAAGGAGTAAGGGCAGGAAGAAGAGATGGCGGAAAAGGTGGCGGTGAGGGGTGGCGCGAAAGGGAATCGACACGTCGGAAATCTATTTCTGTGGAGAGAAAAGTCGGGCAAACTGTTACGCGATTAAATCGCGAACTGTCGCGGAGACCCTCGAAATTCACGATCGTTTGCCTTCGATTTAAAACGGCCGAATCCTGTCGACGGGGAACGTCTTTGTCGTTGTTCTTCTCCTACGACCCGGCAAAAAGACGCGGTAACGAGGGGACCGATCCTCGTCGCAGAAGTAAAAAGGTTTACGTGGCTTTAAAGTTTATGACCGGTCGTAGCGACAAAAACCCTTTGAGTCCACCCTTTCCCAAGACGGGATGCTCGTGACAGTTCGACGGGGTCTTAATACTCGCGATCTGCATGTCTCCCGTGAAAGTGATTTTTCTTCATTCCTTTAGAAAAATCTATAGACAGAATACAACGAAGCATTAATCGGGAGGTTTAATCATTACATTTACCGTAATTATTAAAGATGAAATACAAGAAACAAGAAATATATTCTCGTTCTAATAAATGAATCACTGACTTGCCTGAGCGATAAGATTTTTCTTTTAATGCGAAAGGGTTAAACACCACCGACCGCTCTCGTTTCACGATATCGATACGACGCGACGTGGCGTTTGTGTTCGCATCGACGTTACATAATCACGGAACGTAAATAATTTGGCAGAAAGACAAAGCTTCAAGCTTATCGTAAATCTTTGTACATCACACATAAATCTTCATTGCTCTCTCTGCTCCGTATCCTTCCTCGTTTTTCCATTAGAAGATCCCCACGTTCGACGCGAAATTCAGAAATAAAACTAGGCGCTCTTGTAAGTGGAGTGCACCTAGCATTTACGACGCCATAGCGTCGTCCATTATCCGGAGCTCCTACTGCGTTCCATTAGTCCCATGTAACTAACTTCTTTAGCTCCCAAGGATTTCACGCTGAACAGTGCTTATAGGATCAAAAGATTAGGTCCACGCGTTACAACGTACATATATATATATATATATATATAGCGCATAGCACAGACAAAGGTTTAAACTTATCCGTAAATCCGGAAAAAGTACCAAATTTCGTTAAAGCGCCGTCAATTTTCGGCTGTCGAAAAAGCACGTTCGCTCGGAACGATGAGAACGATAATAAATGGAGAAAAGTGAAAAATAGAGAGGGAGTAACGTTGTTATTTTAGATAAATAGTTAATACAAAGCAGTGCGCGTTCTATTTTGCCGTTTCGCCCGTAATTCTTTCGAAACATTTTTTCATTGTTTAAATATTAAAGTTAAATACGCGTTAAGTAACTACGTTAAGTAATACGGTCGTCGTAGAATTATACAACTGGATATTGAATTTCTGAAAATATTAAACTACCGGCACACATTCGCACTTGAAGGGAACGAGACTGACGAAAGCGCAGCTCGATAGGTCGAGCCTCGTGCCGCGCCGCATTCGCGTTGGCGAATTGCAGCCGAATTTGATACGCTGGGCTCCGGGATGTTTGAACAGGGCTCGATTGTAAGCATACGCAAGTGCGGGAACGATACGCGTCCGAAAGAGAGATGTTGTCGTTTTCAATCAAAATCGACAGACATGGGCGGATACATTGCCGCCACGACTGACACTCGTGCACACAACGATTCCCACTATTGCTAAATTTCCGCCTATTGACAACCGTTTGTGTTTGATAGCTATATATCGGCGCACACAGGTGTTTACCTTGTTACCGCTCTCCGATCTTTACTAGCTCGAATCGGCCCTTTACACATA